ATATTGAATGGAGAACATCATCACTATCATATATTGATCCTCCCACCAAACAAAGAGAGCAAGAAGTTCAAAAGATCATACATCTGCAGAAATTGCAATCAATTGCTAGATGCATTTACTGATTTAAAAAGGGTGACCAAATCACATGTGGCAGCTGTGAATGCCCCTACTCGAATTGAGATTTCAAAAGAAATGACAAATGATGATGTGCCAAATGAGTCAAAGACACACTTGAAACGAGGAATACCAATAGGGTCTAAAGATAAGAATCCTCGAAAGAAAAGAGAAATTCGTGACCCGAATTTGGAAAAGAATAAAGATGATGAAAAAATTTCGGAACATAATGAAAATATTGAATTTTCCATCAATTACATAAATAATGGGAATCTTTGGAAGCGTGATGAGATCACAAATATTGATGATGCATTTGCATATATGGTATCGAAAGAAATTGAAAATGAAGTTGAGGATCCTGAACCAAAATCTGTAACTGAATGTCAGAAAAGACATGATTGGAAAAAATAGAAAGGCGCCATCCAAGCCGAGTTAGATTCACTCAATAAACGAAAAGTTTTTGGGCCTATTTCCATTATACCAAAAGACATAAAACCTATTGGATACAAATGGGTTTTCACGAGAAAGAAAAATGAGAAAAATGAGATCACGAGATATAAAGCTCGCCTTGTTGCACAAGGATTTTCCCAAAGGCCTGGGATCGAATATGATGAGACATATTATCCTGTCATGGATGCAATTACTTTCAGATACTTGATGAGTTTAGCTATCCATGAAAATCTTGAGATGCGTCTCATGGATGTTGTAACTGCTTATTTGTATGGATCATTAGACACTGACATATATATGAAAATCCCAGAAAGAATCAGAATGCCCGAAGCACTAAACTCTAAACCTAGAGAGTTATGTGCGTTAAAATTGCAAAGATCATTATATGGCTTGAAACAATTCGAGTGTATGTGGTATAATTGTTTGAGTGAACAATTATTAAAAAAGGAATACTTAAATGATCAAATATGTCCGTGTGTTTTTATAAAGAAATCACAAAATGGAGTTGTGATAATAGTTGTCTATGTTGATGACCTTAATATTATTGGGACAACAAATGAAATACAAGAAGCAGTTACCTTTTTGAAAGGCGAATTTGAAATGAAAGATCTCGGAAAAACCAAATATTGTCTCGGTTTACAGATAGAGAGAGTACAAAATAGGATATTTATCCATCAATCTAACCATACTAAAAGAGTATTGAAACAATTTAATATGGACAAACCTAATCCCCTTAGTACTCCGATGGTTAACCTAACATTGGATGTTGAAAAAGCTCCATTTCGACCATGTGAAGAAAATGAAGAAGTACTTGGTCCTGAGGTACCATATATGAGTGCAATAGGGGCTCTTATGTATCTTGCTAATTGCAGCAAACCAGATACATCTTTTGCTACCAACTTATTAGCAAGATATAACTCGTCACCTACGAGGAGACACTGAAATGGAATCAAGCATAAAGTCCGTGTTATCTCCAAGAAACAATCGATCTGGGATTATTTTACTCAAATGATAAAAAACATGAAATGATCGGTTTTGCAGATGCAGGATATTTATCAGACCCACATAAAGCGAGATCTCAGACTGGCTACGTTTTCACGATTGGTGGAACTGCATTTTCTCGGCGCTCTCAGAAACAAACACTAGTTGCTACATCTTCAAACCATGCTGAAATCATTGCACTGCATGAAGCAACTAGGGAAAGCATCTGGCTCAGAAACATGACTCAACAGGCCAGTGGATTCTCGAATAATAAAGACCCGACGGTGATATTTGAAGACAATGCAACATGTGTCGCTCAGACCAAAGAAGGATACATCAAGAGTGACAGAACTAAATATCCCACCAAAGTTCTTCTCATACACTAAAGAGCTTGAAAGGAACAAACAAATCAAGGTTCAATACATCCGATCAAGTGATAACGCAGCAGATTTATTTACAAAGGCGCTCCCAACTACAACGTTCCCAAAGCATGTCCATAACATTAGAATGAGGCATCTTCGAGATTTACACGGATAATAACTCGAGGGGGAGCATGTGCGGCTGTACTCTTTTTCCCATATCTCGGTTTTTTTCCCACAGGGTTTTTCCGGATAAAGTTTTTAATGAGGCAGCATAAACGCACATTACATAATGGTAATTCCAAGGGGAGTGTTAGAAACAAGTGGAATAAACCACTATGCCTCGATAGTGACATTTCACTATTTGTAATAAATGAGAATAGTAAAGTGAATAATAATGGGTATGCGATGTGCATTATTGGTGTATATTGTGTTGGCAAATTTGCCTTTTATGCATTGCCAATGTAGTGAATGTACACACAATTTCAGAAGAAAAATAAGAAAGAGAATACTAAGTATAATTCCTATCTGCTTTCTATTTTGTGTTCTTTATCTTTCCTGTTTATATAACAGTTTCTATTGTTTCCAAAAAAAAAATCCAATATCTTTTATATATTGGAATCATAAGCTCAATTTTAATGTCCAATAATTGCACAATAATTGAAATAATTGGTAGTGGAAATATACTTTACAGCTAAACATTTTTTGTTACCATCGAACCGGATAAATTTATGCAGCGCACGCAACAATAGAAACCGCTAGTTGCGAAGATATTTTTCTCCAGTTGGATTAAAAAACCAGTAAAATTGGCCACTATATTAGAGAATCTCGACGTTGCATCAGAAATCCACATGATGATCCTCATATTTTTGTCCACTTATTAGCTATAAAATGTTATAAATACCACCACACAACCAATTTTCCATTCCCAGTCGACTTCGACGTTGTTCTCTTCTTGTTGTTTGTGGCGCACAGTGCACTGCCGTCGTTGTTTGTGCGAGCGAGGAAAATGACGGTGGGGGCAGGGATTTCTGTGAACGGCGGGAGATTGAGCGTTTTGGGCGAGAGTATTTTGAGTGATGTCCACGACAACATTGTTCTGACGCCGGCGGCCGGCGGAATCTTGACCTGCGGCGCTTTCATCGGCGTCCAATCCGATCAGATTGGCTGCCGTAGGGTTTTTCCGGTCGGCAAACTCCTGTCGGTTTCGTCTCTTCTCACCTTAAAATTTTCATTAATTGCTTTTCATTCTGAATTTTCAGTTTCTTTTTTCTTGTCCGGCTTTGGGAGTGTGAATGTGATATATATATAGGAACATCGAACTCGGTTAATAATTTTCTTTGAAAACTTAAATATTTTCCATGTTAAAGTTGTAAATCACGATTTTAAATAAGGGGCATTTTTTTTTTTATCACTTGTCTCCCGGTGCAATTCGATCAAAGATCCGTTTTTTTTTTT